AATCACAGAGACATAAATTATACATTCTCTATGATTACAACTATGTGGTTAAAAAGTATAGACAAAAAAACCCAAAATATTAATGCTCAGATGACAAAATTGTTTTTTCCTTCTACATTTTTTAAATGTCCTTTATGTTTACTGAGAAAAACGTATTTATAACAAGATGGATAATTAAATTGTCATGACAATATTCACAACTATGTGATACTGGCCTAAAATAAATTTTTCAGAAGAAATCAACTCATTTAATCACTCTGAGAAAGAGTCACATAGTATTTCAAACTTTACACGTATGCATTTAAAAAAAAATCCAGACCAAATGTAGAAAGTCCACTAAAAGAGGGAAGGAAATGACTGTATCAAGAAACTGTGTCATCAAATCTTTAGGACCTTATGTCACAAAATTAGAAAACACACACAGAAAAATTAGGCAAGATCACAAGAATTACTTGAACAAGTAGCATCATTCCCAACTACCTGAGAGGTAGTGTTCTTTTTCTTGAAACTATCCCCGGAGGAAGATGTGGCAATGCCTTCCAGCAGTCCTTATTGATAAAATAGACAAAAGTTCTTCCATGAAAAATAAAACTTCTGCTCAACAAAAGTCTAGTAAAGTTGTAGTTTTAAAGGGCTATAGTTTTTCCACATACCTTAGGTCAAATCTAAACCCAAATTCTTCATCTACAATGTTGTTGTTGTTGATTGCCTTTGAGTCAAGCACAACTCGTAGCAATCTTATGAATAAAAGGCCTAAAGCCTTTCTATAACTATCGTCATTTATCAGAGTCCATAAAGTTCCTGGAGGCATGTTTTTAGAAAGTGGATGCCACTCCTGCTTCCAATCATCTATGTTGTTAAGTGCTGTCGACCAAAAGCCCTGAACTCTTGGGAGCTAATATCATCAACACTCTTGATCATGTTCAGAATTAAATATGTTAGTGGCAAAGCCTCTAGAAAAAACAGGTAAGCAATGCCCTATTTTCATCTCACCTCTTACCTCAAAATGTGGATGACTACAATCACCTCATAATCACCAGTCACTTGTCACATAAGTCCACACCTCTCAGAGGCATGGCCTTTAAGTCTACAATTTTCTCAATTACACTATTTATCAAATATACCTATCACAAGGTATACTTAAAATCTAAGGATCTTTAGAATAAAGCTTTCTTGGAATACTTTACTAGTTGACTCTTTAGAGTAAAAAAAAAAATCATTAAATAACTTCTTCCCTCCTAAAAGATTTTACAGACTTGATGGTCGTCAAGGTTTTAGGAAATAAAGGTCTTGGACTCTCTGTGTGAAGGGAAATACCCATATTCTTTTAACCATGCTCTTAAAAATGGAAAAAACAATTGTGCTTTCAGTATCTACCTTCATCATTGAAGTCTTTCCAAGTTTCTTCATGTGTTTCTGTTTATGGAAAACTAAAGCTAGACAGTAATCTATTACGGTTCAAAGATATGAAGCTATTTACTGAATTATTCCAAATTAATTTACTAAACCCACTGCTACCCAGTTGATTCTAACTCGTAGTGACCCTCCATCAGGTTTTCAAGGCTGCATGTAATCTTTATAGGAGGAGTCTGTCCATCTTTCTCCTGAGGAGCAACTGGAGGATTCAAACTCCTGAGTTTTCATTTGGCAAAGCAACACGTAATGGACTTGGCCACCTGAGCTCATCTTTGCTGTTGCATACTGCCGAGTCTTTACTGACTCACAGCTGACCCTCCAGCAGTTTTTCAGAGGCTGTAAGTCACATGAGAGAAGACTGTACATCTTTCTCCCATGAAGCAGCTGGTAGATTCGAACAGTGTACCTTTGGGTTGACAGTGCAACATATTACCACTAAGCCACCAAAGCTGCCTTAACTTGTACTGTAGTTGGTATGTGCCATGAGTTGACTACGCCTCATAGTGACCCTATGAACAACGGCTCTGAACCTTGCCCTATCCTGAACCAGTCTCACCATCTCTGACACACCTGATCCTACAGTCATGTTGTTGTTGTTGTTGTTATGTGCCGTCGAGTCGCCTGCGACTCATAGCAACCCTATGTACAACAGCCCTAAACTCCGCTCTGTCCTGTGCCAATCGCACTGTCTCTGACACTCCCATCCCAATTATCCCAGTCAC